AAACCCCCAAATCTCTCACAAACCCCCAAATCTCACCTCTCGCATCCCTCTCCCACCACCCACCGTCTCTGCCGTCGGAAATTGCCCCACGACGGCGGCACCACACCAAACAGCCCCAAATCTTCACCCTATAATCCCCACACTTTCCTAATCCCAAATCCCTTACCAATTTACCCAAATAATCATCCAAACTCCCCGAATTCAAAATTTAAGAAGTCAAGAAAACCTAGTTTGCTGTTCTTTTTCGGTTCTTTCCAAATTCGAGCTTGTTTTTCGTTATTACCTGCCTCAATCGACTACCTTCCCTTTTTTTCTTCGTTCAAAACCTCAATGGCTCAGAGAAGTAGCCCCCTTAGCTTTGAGGTATCACTTGATTTTCGACTCTTCGGCCAAGCTATGGTCGTTATCATTACAGGCAGCCATTGTTTCTGTCTTTCGAGCATGAACCAGTGCTCGTATGACGATATTGACTCATGCTCGGATTATTTGAAGCTAGCAGTAATGTCGTTAATGGGTAATATTTTCTTCCGTTCTTTCATGGTCATTTGGCTTAATTATATGATTTACTGACAGACTGGTGTTTTGTTGTTTCACATGATATAGCTTAGTTTTAGGTTAATTATAGCATGTTTTAGCTTAGCTTCAATTGTACTTAGTTGATTTTGCTAAAATTATCATTTGAAATGCATGCTTAATGATGCATCAGTAATGGACTATTAGATCGCATAACAATTAGTAATTTTCAAGAATTGGGGGACTAAAAGGTATACTAAAATCAAAGAATCTTAGGTGTTTGGTCAAGAAGTTTATATACGGGACTTAAGTGCAATAAAACAAAAGAACTAGGGATAGTTTCAGAATTAAAAGATGCTAAAAAAAGAAAAGGCGACATCTGTTAAAAGAAAATATCTGAAAAGGGACAGCTGTCCAATTCAGTTGTAAAAGATGCTTTTTTTCCCTAAAATTTAGGGACTGCATTCTGAGAATTATTTCCTTATCTTAGGAGCACATGACGGATTTTTCACTCTATAAAAAGGACCTCACTCACACATTTTCGAGGATCTGATATTCATACATAGGAAGACACACACAGAATTCACTCTTTTTTTTTTTATTTTTCTACTCTCATCCCATACTGATTTTGAGTAAGTTCTGGATTTCTGGGTTTGAGTTTGAAGCTTTTGTGTTGATTGGTTTTCTACTGCTGTTCTTCCCAGTTATCAGAGATTTATTTTCTTCTTTTGCTTTGCCGCTTCAAGGTACTGATTTCAATCTCTGTTGATGTATCATTTATTTAAATGTCACAATGTCAAGGAATCTGCAATCATGGGTTACTTATGTGTTTGATAAATGCTCCTTGTAGCAATTAATCACTTATGTTTGAACTAATGCTCTTTTCTGTTTGAGTTTATGGATGAAGTTTATGTTAATCATGTTGAATTTGTATCTGAATTTATTAAATCTAATTTGAATGATTCTCATATCGTTGGTTGTTTTATTCCTGATAAACATTTTTACTAGTATGCCTTCTGTTAAGTGTTCAACTCGTCAGTTACTTGGCGATTAGCATCAAAGTGAGTCAAACTCTATTGTGCCTTCTTGCAAGCTGATTAGAAACTGATTTAAAATCATGTGGGTATTTGTATTAAGAATTATGTTTTGCAGACTAGGTCGTAGCTCGAGCAGTTCTCTTCATTTAGAGAATCGCTATTTTTCAAAGTCTAAAGGATTTGTTGGAGAAGTTTGTGATAGTTCGACTTGAAATCGGAGCTTAGAATCAGAAGTTTGTAAACATGCAGCACTGTATTACTCATTAGTTTCAGTTTTGTTTTAATATGGAGTTTGTCACAAGTTGAGTTTCATGCTGATAAAAATATTTGAAATAGAAAACGGTGACTGATAG